TCGTTTCTTTCGAGGAAAGAAGTGTCAAAAATACGAACGTATATATGACAGTCCCCAATCAATGTTAATAAAAAGAGCAGAACAAACTCACCGTTTTGATAAAAACAAGGAAAGCTCGCACAAAAACCACCAAGCACCTCTACCCCTCGACAAAACAAGCGCGGCAGTAACGGCCGTAACGGCAGCAAAACGACCGAGCGGAGATGGGTAGATGAAGAGATAGCGGCAGTGGGGAGGCACTCACTTGATCGAATGACGTTTTAGCGAACGCCCACGTTTCATCGAATGACACTTTAGCGAATAGTCGGACGCCGCGAAGCGGCGTTTTCGGGTGGGTCAAGTGAGTTCATATTTTTGTAATTAGTTGCCGCAGACTGTCGCCGCGAAGCGGCGTAAAGCGCAGCGCGACGGATGGGTTAACGCGCGCCCCCGTTTTTCGCTAAAACGACCATTCGCTCAAATGTCGCCGTTCGCTAAAATGTCATTCGCTCTTGTGATATGGACCCGCGGCAGTGTGATTATACTAGACAAAAATCTCACCTCGTGCAATTGAGCGGTAACTAGCGCCACCTCGTTTCGGAACGTTTATCATTAGTTGATTGACTGCGCTTTACGCCGCTTCGCGGCGACAGTCTGCGGCAACTCATTACAAAAATATGAACTCATTTGGCCCACCCGAAAACGCCGCTTCGCGGCGTCCGACTATTCGCTAAAGTGTCATTCGATGAAACGTGGGCGTTCGCTAAAACGTCATTCGATCAAGTGAGTGCCTCCCGATTGACAGTGCAATAAACGATTCTTTGAAATGTGAGAACCGTTGTCTATTAGTCTAAACCAAGTAAAACAACTTTCAGCTTGTCGCAAACAATTTTAGTTGTTTAAAGAATCGTAACTTTAGATTTACGGACAAGTCAATCGTATTTCAGATTACGGATGCTTCTCCGTAGCTTTTAATGAGAAGCTCTACGTTTTTTTACGGAACGTTTTTACCGTGCACACCTGATAGAAAGATATAAACTTTCTTGCCTAAACCTCTCGGACCGAGTCAAGAGCATTTCAGTATTGCAGCGAGAGGTTCCGACAATGAGTGCATCGCTCTAAAAAGTGCTTCGGCTGCATATGCAGTTAAACCAAGCAATCGTACATCAATCGCCGTACTTCAGTTCTACTCACCTGCCATGCACAGTAGTTTCGCGTCGTAGAATCCTCCTTTCGTTGGAGCGTCTCCGGCCCAGTAGTACACCTTGTCGTCTTCAACTACACCGCTAAAGTGCCTTACATTGTCGGAACTCACAACAGGCTGGGTCTTGTCGACAGGTTGGAGCAAGCGGGCAAACAAAACGAGTCGAAAGCGATCGTTCATGGAAGCTCGGCGAAGCCCCCATGGGCGAAGCGAAGTGCGAAGTGTCGTGTTCGACGCTTCGGCGGCTTCGGCGGGCTTCTGATCAAGGTTGTCGGTCGGTTGCGTGTCACATCTCTAACGTCAGCGGTTTTATGGGCTCACGTCCCGAAATCGTTTTCTCGTGCATAGATTACTTTTCGTATTCATAGATTTGACGAAATAGTGGTATCCGAACGAACTTTACGTCCTTTGACCGTACTTCTGTCTGCACGTCAGAGCTTTCTGACGTGCAGTCAGAGACAATCGATGTACAGTCAGAATCACCACCAAGACATCCTGATGGCATTTCGCGGCGGCATTTCGCGGCGAGAAAGCTCTGACTGCACGTCAGAGCTTTCTGACGTACAGTCAGAGACAATCGATGTACAGTCAGAATCACCACCAAGACATCCTGATGGCATTTCGCGGCGGCCGACTGCCACCAGGAAACCATCAGAAAGCCGACAAGCGGGGTCTGACTGGAGTTTGACTGTCGGTCAGAGTAACTTGTTGTCCAATCAGACATGCTTGGCGTACAGTCAGGCACAGTCAGCGGTCCACTAGAAAACATTGACTGCCAAACAGCGTTACATTGATGGATTTTTCCTTCGGGACGGCACCTAGTCCATTCTGTCCGTGCATGCAAACTGAATTATTTTATTCGCACGTAATAAAGCCGGGGAAAAAAAAAGCAACACTGTATCTTCCAGATTTTGCGACATATTTGGAACCTTGCATTCCATGATCCATTACAGCAACCGTTTATCAAATGCTAATTTAAATTTCGATTTATCTTATATCGAACCTGAAAGTTTATTAGAAAGGAAAAATTTACCATAATTTTGACCCGCCTTTAAAAAAATATATATTTTGAATCATCATTTTAAATTATTTTTCGTCATATTGCCTTCCCAATGGCCAAGTTCGATATCTTACCTGTACGAAAAGAACCTGTGAATTATCGGGAGTTCCTTTCTTCGAAGTGGCCACCTATGGCGCATCCTAAAGCCTTGAAGCGACTTTTCTACTTTTGCTAAATACTACTTAGAATCACTGCCTAACATTAATAACTAAAGAAACTTGCCTTAGTTGTTCCTTCTAGGCAATGACAGTCACCAATGAAATTCGAGAAATATGAACATCGTTCACCCCCTCAATTCGGAGCTAGAACAAGTGGCCACGTGGCCTGGTGCCTATCCTATACCTTCAACGTTAATCATACCCACGTGCTGGGCTCGACAAAGTAGAGAACTCGTGCTGAGCTCCAGGCTTTGTTAGAGTTGGGCTATTTTCATCACTGCAGTGGTTGGACACGAGCCACTACCCGAGCGTCCGCCGAGGCATAGATTGTTACGAGCTCACACGTAGTTCTCGTGTCCAATCCATGCATTAGCCGCGCTCAACTGTCATCAGCCTGGTTATTTCGATCCCACAATCACGTCATCCAGCTTTGCAAAGGCAAGACTGAAAGAAATAGTCCCCTTTGATCTTCGCAATTTCACCACGACAAAGAAGTTTCTGAATCAGTGGCGGTCTGTGCGAGTATACTTGAGCCAGGCTGGAACCAGTACGAACCGGCAAGGTCATGAACGTTCCAACCCGAAAACGTTTCAAGATGAAATGATTTGAATGGTCAAAGAATCTGGTGCGTGTCACTTTCGTTTGGCTTACCTTAGCAAAAGAAAAAAAAAAGAAAAAACATGCCCGGAGCTTTTAAAATGTTGCGAGTGTCCGGAGAAATTGCGAAGAGGAAAGGGGACAATTTTCCGTCCTGCAGCCACTTGTGCCGGCCAAGTACGGGCGTGACGTGAACTGGTTCAAAGTGTACCGAATTAGCAAGCTCAGTAACTATCTACTCGATTTGAGGCTAATTTTTTTCTTTTTTATGTTGTCGTGAAAACGTGAACACACGCATCAAAAGCCCGATATTCTTGAATTTTATTACGCAAAGTTTTAGTGGCGCCATCTGTCCGAGTTGAAGAAAAGCGCTCCCTCCCCACTTCCCATAGCCAGCTACACGAAACTGAATGTCTCCGGGTGTCCCTCTCGAGTCGGTTTTCCGGCCGCAAACCGGGAAACGGTGCGTAGTTGAGTGGTGCATCAAACTTAAATCTGTTTAACCTTTCTTTTTTTTTTTTTTAAGCAAAAACTAATGCACTTTGTCAAAAATCGTTTACTGATTTTTATTGTACAACGCCTCCCCGCGACTAGGGGAGGAGTGGTGAGGGGCTTTCCGTGCCCCCTTTTCAATATGAAGCGGCAGTTCTCGAGTAATTGGGGCTGTTGACTCACAATGGATCTCTTGACTCGTGTCTGCCGAGTCAAGAGATCCAACGCGTAAAAAGATCCATTATTGGACCTTCTGACTCGCTGGACCTTTTGACTCGTTGGACCTCTTGACTCGCCGTGGATCTTTTGACTCGTTGGATCTCTTGGCTCGTTGGACCTCTTGACCCACATTGGATCTTTTGACTCGTGTCTGGCGAGTCAAAAGATCCAACGAGTCAAAAGATCCATTATTGGACCTTTTGACTCGTTGGATTTTTTGACTCGTTGGATCTCTTGACCAGAAGCGGGTGGGGGGTGTGGGAAATTCCCGCTCCTCGCGTGTTCTACGCTCTGCTTTCAGCCACGCCGCGTCGTTGAGGCGCGGGGCGCGCTGCCCGCTGTCCTCCGCACCGTGGAGGACAGAGGGGAGCGCTGCTTGTAGGAACGCTCCGCATGTAGGAATGTTCTGTAATTCCTACACGTAAGCAATGTTAAATCTCCTCCTGTAATTATAAACATAGCATGCTTAGAATAATTGATCGAAATGTGTCACGAAATTCAGAATAGCTGCCAACAGTTGAGAAGTTGGTGACGCTTAGATACTTTTGAGATCATTCATAGCCATTCATAGCCGCCAAAAGATCGTCAGGTTGCCATTTTAATCCCATAATGCTCGCCAGCGACCAATTAAACATTCACCACCTTGGAAATGTATGATTCCTTTGTTACAAAAAGGCAATGGAAATAACACCAAAGCGAGATCATAATTTCATTCATATGGGAAGTCTATTCTTGTCTTTGCTTCTGGTTCAGCACGAGAACGACAGCGCTGCTATGAAGCTATCATATTTTGCGCCTACTCTTTTGTAGTTTTGCGTATAAGGAGGACGGTCTAAAAGAAGTTTTGGGTGACATCTGGTTACGTGCTTTTTGCACCTATCGGGCACCGAAATGGTATTACCCTTTAGTTAATATGTACGTTTGACGAACTTTATCCGAGATGAGCCTAATTGCTAGACAGTTCACAAGTGGAGCTTCATGCGAAGTTAAGAATTTATATTTCTAAACACTTTGTTTGCTCGTCCACTCCTAGTTTTATTTAACATGGTTCTGGATGGAACGGAGGACATATGCGTAGAACGAAGTGTGACAGGATGCGCCACATTTTGCCTTTTAATAACACACGTCACGGTTAAAAAAGTAGGAGAGCTCATAAGAAATATTCCTATAGAACAATTTCGGGAAAGCCTGGTGTTTCAACATTTGTTCTTGCAGTATAAAGTTACGCACAAAAATCTTCCCTTTTGATTATTTTCATTAACGACGAGGTAAGGAAGGGAGAATGCTTGAGTACTTTTTCGGTAAGATATTTTATTTAACGAAACGCAGTAAAATATAGAAGAAAAACACACCTCAAGGTGAAACTCATAGGGTTTTTAATCAAACGTAACTTAAAATAAATCCTGAGTTTCCTACACACCGTAATCTTTATTAATATCATAAACTGAAACGCCGAGCAAATGCATCGGGTACCCAGTGTGTCTTAACACATTAATATAGTTTCAATCGTTTTACACCTCTCGGGTGAGCTCCCAGGTGCATGGGTCTGGGCAAACTTGAGCTAGTAGTTCCTTGGCGTTCTTGCATTTGTAGTCCACATCATAAATCTTGTAGACCTCATCAGTGTTTGGACTGGTGAGGTCTGAAACATAAAAAGATTTTAGAATGAATTTTATTTCCTACTGGCAGTAATATTTCTAGTATCTTGCAATAGAAAATGGACAGCGAGTTTTATATAAGAAACAGGATGCAAAACTTGATTAGAAAACGTATACTGTATGCTTAATTTGGCATCTAACGAAAGAAACGCTTCTTTTTATATAAAATGCCAGGTTGCCTTTCATTCTCATTTCGAATTGCTCACAATTGTCTGAAAAGCAGTAAAGCGAGTGTTTTGCCAAAAAACGTTACCATCTTTTTTAAAGACTGTGCTTCGTTGTAAAGTTACACCGGAATGGAAACCATTGTCGCTCTGATTTCGTTCATCCTACAAGTTTACCACGTATTCCACACTTCTGGTTCAGTCTGAGCCCGACAGCGTTGAGCACTACTAGCTTTTACTTATTAAATCTTCTGTATACAAAATGAACAAGTTTATAGTCGCAGAATCTATGGCAGCTCTTATGATGGGTTTGAACAAACGTTCCTTACTCATGTTACAGTAGAATCAGATTTTTTTTTTTTTTTTTTTAAATACGGCAATTTCTAAAAATAGTCCTACAAAGCAGCTGTGCTCAACACGTGTGAGTCGCCTTACGACACTGCACGCGTCTTCGAAGCAAGCTTTGCAAAGTGCATGACAAGCATTAAAATATTTCAATCGCTAACCCAACTTCAAGTGTAAGGCGTGATTTTATGTTAAAGGGACCATAAAATTATTTTTAACTTCTCTCTCCTGAGCTTTACTCCTCAACATAAAAGCGAAATTAGAAATCACGCTGTCGTTGCGAACTTGCACCGGTACGATGACTCCATGCTTACAACGTGTGCTTCTTAAGCACAACATAGAACTTGTCATACGCAAGCGATGATAAATGCCGTTGCGACAGTCTTTGGTCACGAACGCGAATCCAAATATTCGTCAACGGATTGGTTGTTGACGAGCACATACATACGAGTGGCGCAGTGGCCTTGTCCAGTGCGTGCGCTGGGGTCGGCTGATGTGATTTGGGTACAGCGATTGTATCACAGTAAATGTGCGAAGTCTTTTCTAAACAAAGGCGCTATGAAATTGTGCGCTATATTTTCGCATTTTCGTACGTAAAAACGGGCTTTTGATTCTTTACCCCCTTTCTTTTGACAAACTAAACGATATTCGATTAGTAATATCCCAATATAAAATATTTATCCCATCCCGAAATTCATTCCATGGTCTTTTTAAGAAAACCGGAGCACGTATATGTTTTACACAATAACGCAGCATCAGCAGAAACAGGGGCAGTAAGTACTTTTTTGGTACCCTGCGTTCTTGACAGTAGCAAGCGCGTGCTCATATCAATACGATGTTCATTTTTTATCATGCTTCCTAACTTCTAGAGGTCCTTCTGCGATAAAGTTCTCTTACAGAGAGTTCTTGATTTTATAAAAACTGGTTTTACAAAAATTGTACATGTTAGTAGATTGCTTGTTTGAAACTCCTCGATGTTACAGAACCTGTGATAAAATGCTTCAGTCAAATGCTCTGTAATCTATTTTTTTTCTTAAATTCAGTGTAAGAACTTTCTTCTATTTATAGTGATTCGTGATCCTAAAACAAAAATAAAATGTTTAGCATGTGTTTGGCTTACCGATCTTCAAATAGAGAGCCTTGCCAACGAACGGCTCTACAACAGTCAAGTCTTCCTCAACAGCTGTAATCGAATCATTATACGACATTAAAACATTGCATGTAGCGCACGCCTGTGCATTTGTTGGTAATAATAACTCTCAAGATATGCGTCTAGTTGTTACTTATGAACTTTATGTTTACTTACATGAAGTTGAAAGTTTACCAACACCACTAGCGGAGTCATAATGTGTCGAAAGAGATCCTCTGAAAAGGTTTTGAATTACAAGGTTAAAAATGACATACTAAAGATATTCCAGACACCGAAAATTAGTACATGTGAAAACATTGCCCTTTTCTTTTTAACCGAATAAACTCGGGACCTCAATGCGTAAATATTAAATCAGAAAAAATAAAAAAAAAAGCATAATGAGTGTAAAAATAACGAATACTGACAAAAATACATCCGATCGTTTTATTGCAGATGTATGTGTTTCACACATGTTTTATATATATACATATTGTGAACAAAGAGGGGAGAAGGCGATTATTGAATTTATTGCATTAAAGTTAGGGAGAGAGAAAGGGAGAGAGAGCTGGCGAAAGATTGGGCCAGGAGCGGGGATTGAACCCGCAGCCTTCGCCTGTCCGGTGCGACGCCTTAACCGATTAGACGATCCCGGCCACTGGTTTCGGCGGACTCAATTTCCGACCAGCCCTCTGTGTACTGTTTAGTTTCGAATTCGCTTAACTTGGTAGGCGACAACCGTTGCTGATTTAATGCAATAAATTCAATAATCACCTTCTCCCCTCTTCGTTCACAATATTACTCGGCTGCACTTGTCAATCTTCACTCATTCCCATTATATATACGGTGCAGCCTGTCCCTATGGGGAGGAGTGGTTCCCTAGATATCTTGGAAGACGGGCCATTTCTGACATTTGCAAGCTAAGATGACGCGCCACGTCACTGACGCACGTCGGAAATAGCGGGGGCTTAAATCAGCAACGGTCGTCGTCTACCAAGTTATGGGCTGCATATCACGTACCTACTGCAGCAGACATTTCACAGTCAATTCTTCTTTGTGGCAAGGCTAGGTATAACGCGAAGAAACGACAATAGAGTCGAACACAGGGACATACTGAGCGCGAACTTACAACCTTGAAGCTTAATACATAACCACTCAAAAACCGCTAATCCAAAAACATACCGCATAATTTCATGTAAAACGCGTATTTCAACAATACTCAGTTGTAGCATTGCATGTACGAGCAAACAAAAGTCCTCTACGTTTGCATTACCGTAGCGTGATCCACACTGCGCGCCCATGAGCCCGGCAACGACGCGAAGCGGATTTGGCACTTTCGGGAAAGCAATCGAGGGAATGCGTATAGACAGCCATGGTCCACGCATTTTTACACGGTGTGCAAGTTCACCTGCCCCTCAGCACTTTCTGCCCTTGCTTGTCCCCGAAGACGAGCACGAACATTTGTTTCTCCCCGACCTCCACCAACGACGGCGCGCACTTGGCTGCATCGTCATCTCAGGTTCCCTGCGTGTCCTTTACCTTTCCCTTTCATTGATGTGATCCTCCTTACGTTCCAATGCGCCGTGGACACATTTTAAAACACGTGCTCGTCAAAAGACCCCGGCAGGAATGCGACGAGGCTGTTGTTAATCCCGTATATGCACAGTCACGCATAATCTTAAGAAAGTTGCCTCGCGCTACGATGCGCCTGTAGTGTTTACTGCTCCCAATAAGCCGGCGCGGCTGCGCCGTAGGAGCAGCAATCCCGTTTTATCGAAAGTTCCCTGTGATATCAGGCACCGCAAAAAATACACAGAGTGCACTACGGGTGTTGTCTACGAAATTCGAACATCATGCCGTTCGTCTTCTATCGGCCAGACGGGAAGGCGCTTCAATGATCGTGCACGTGAACACGTCGCGGCGACGAAAGCCACTCTGTCGGAACATCTTGCCACCCACTGCAGCCGTTGTCCATGTACCCCGCCATTTGGCGACACCAGATTTCTGGCTAGATACGCGGATAGAGTTTCTGAAGAGCTGCATGAGGCCTTCGAAATCCAGGCAATGTACGAAAAACGCATAAGCGATATGTCCCTTCCCTTATTGGTAATTAAGTATGCCTTCTTATTGCGTGGGCTACACGGAACTTAGGAGATATTATGTGTTAGTTCAAAGCTATATATAGGGTAAGCAATCACATATAAAATCAGTTGCGGGTGCACTCTTGTCTGTCTACTTCCTCGTCCTTGTACTGTTTTTTTGGCGCTTTTTTAGGTGTTCAATGCCTTACCACGGCGGCGGGGAGAGAGCGAGTGGCTAGTGTTTCCTAAAGTTAGTGTTTCGAATTTCTTTGTTGCCACGTCCTGCTTGTCTCCTAATTGGAAGACCGTGCCGCTCGAAGGAAAATGAATCAGTTCTATTAAATATATGCAACAATTCTAATATATTCTGTCTATTCAATCAATATATTCATTCTATTCAATCAATTCTAGATTCATTTTCATCTTCTTGAGCAGTATGCGTTGTTTCAAACGCGACAGCGTTTTTCGGCCAGCATCCCAAAGAAAATGGTCATCTGCAGCACGAAAAGATTGGGCTTTCTCTCTTCCATCGCCCCCCTTCGCGGGTCCCGAAACGGTGCTGTCGCTCAATATGCCGCTGTCTTCACAATGTATCGAACGAAGAAGGAGCAAACAGAGGATAACGTAGCTAAAAAGACGCGGAAAATACTAAAAAAAAAAAAAGGGCTACATGAATTCGTAGCGGGTTCTTCCGTAGGGAAGCCGCGTGCGGAGCCCTCTCCACCATTTTTGCAACATTACTCTCAATGGACAGGAGCCAGGCGAGCAGAAGCGGCGATGTGCTGAGTATGACTATGGTTGAGATGCTGAAAAGAAGCCGACGAACGTTCGTACTTGGTTACAAACCATGGGGTGGGACGTAATTTAGTCAGAGGAATATAGCCTTCGTAGAACGCGAGCGATGATATTGCATCTTGGCGTAGTTTGCAGAGGCGCACCGAAGAAACACAGCCTCGCTTTTTGTTATTATGAAAAAACTTTGCACGAATTCCGCATAATTATGGGACGATCACAATAAAGGTAACGCGATCGACGAGTGGTGAAGCGGTATAATACCATTTTTGCGAGCAAATGTATTCGCAAGTATATAAACATGGTTTTCCAAAAGTCTAAGGTACAAAAACTGGTAATATTTAACTAAACAAGTATTCACATGACTAGTTCTTCAACGAAGTAACAGTAAAAATCGGTCTCTAAAGTTTGTTTATCACAAATTAGAATCGGGTCTACAGACTGAAAGGAGTTTGGTGCAGTCAATGTAAGAAATTTAAACAAAGATTAATCATTTTATTTATTTCGCGAATGAGTGACACCGGCTCTCTTCTGGTTTGACCGAAATGTGTGACTTGTCTACAGCAGAAAAATATATTATGAAACAATTTCTTCAAATTCTTTAGTTACCATAGTTTAACATTTTCTAAGTTAATTTGGTTCTGCGGCGACTCAACTACTCTCTTTTGGAACGAAATTAGAGGGGAGCTGTTTATGGCTAGAGTTCCGTGGATTTTTTTTTTCTATGTACGTAACCAAAAACTCTACGCTCGCACCACCGCACACGCACGCCCCGTATAAAATATCCGAAGCAAATAAACAAAACAAAACGTTGACAAACGAGCGTAAAAGCTGCCATTCGTTTTAGGCTTTTTCTTTAGAACAGTTACTGTTTCAGAGGCTGAAACGTGCGGCGCGTGGAACACCATTTTCTGCATTCTCCTTGATGCTTGGGTAATTTAGCAATAGGTCTATTCAGTAGACTAGTTATCAATAGGGACCATTTTTAAGATCTGTAGACTCTACGGTAGAAAGTACAGGTTTCTAAAAGATGTGCCTCTGTGCGGCCCGCGTCGGCCATATCTACGCTCGCACCGCCCTCTCTTTGTCATCGTTCCAAGCCGCTTGCGTGCCTAGTCTCCTTTCCTTCCGCTTTCCCGGAGTGGCGGTCCCGTCGCAAGTGTCTGCTTTGTCTACATTCCAGCGGGTGGCAGTCCCGTTGCACGTGTCTGGCCCCCTCTGGCTCCACGGAGCGGGTCTTTGTCGTCTGCTAAACAGCTTCGTTGCTCATCCACCTTCACAGAGTGGAATGACTCATGTTTTTTTTGCGTTGTCCTTGTTTGTGTTAATTTTCACTTTTATATTAATGGTATTAGAAGCTTGAAACGCCCACGCAACAAAAAACGGTCCCGCATATTAAAAGAAAAAAAAAAAAAAACGCCGGTCATCAGTTAAATTTGCTTTTTCATAACTTCTTTAGTGACATATCTAATATACGCACCGAGTGTAAGAATTAGGAGTTCCCGCTACCGCGGACCAGGTGATGCCACTGGCATCTGTAGTGCTTGAATCGGTCCCGTCCCAGAGAATGGTGTAGTTGATGGAGCCCGGTGGATCAATGCTATTGCCACTGTGATAGCACTGGTATGTCAAAATGGGTCTTGTTTCCATATCCTGTAAAGGCAGAATTATATCGAGTAAAAAGTAACTTCGTGCAACGTGAAACGTACGCACCTGTGGCTTCTAAGCATGACGTTAGACAGAAATCGAATAGTCAAAGAACGTTTTTTCTGATTTTTACTACGTTCAACCACAGCAAATATTGCAGAAACATTAGCTTTTTGTGTTTAGTTCAAGACATGTCTCTTCAACGAAATAAACAAATGTGTTCTTCAGGAATATTAATACATTTTTCGATTTTTCCCAACCCGCGCAACCTCACTGCGCTCGCTCTTCATTAGCTGTGCATCATCTGAAAACGCACCAGCGCTCACATCCTGCGCCGTGAACCAATAACTGTATTGCAACAAATTGCCTCGTAGTGAAAAATGAAAGTCCCACAAAAGCATAACAAGATAGGAACACTACATATAGCAACATATACCGGGAACGCATTCTGCACACGAAGTGGCAACCGATTAAAGCTCCTTAATATTTTATCATTCCGTGATCATTATGCAGATCGGATCAAATTTACTGTTTTATCTCGCTGTTTGTTTTTATTATTTTTTCCTCCTGCCTTAAGTATGTACATGATATGTTTTTGAGCCTTTCACGCTCACCTTTATTTGACCTTTATAATTGTAACACTCAAACCTGTTTGGGCAATTGGGTCAGAAAACTGAGCACTTGACTCTACAATACGGAACATAAATTTCGTCATTGTTGGATGCATAGTAGTAGCAGTACATACGTCGTAAAATTGTTTTGTCGGGTTACTCGGGGTGCTAGCTTCGCCTTGATGGATCAGACACGATGAACAAAAGAGAACCAGTACAATTGCGGTTCTTGTTTCCATGGTTGAAGCAGTCCTAGAAAATGAAATACTACTTTTAATCTTACAATAAATCAGATTTCATGGCAGTGCTTGTACATTTAAAACACTTATGTCTCAAACACATATAAAAATGTCGCACCCTGCTCGTTTCGTTTTACCAACGAAAATGTTCACCAAACTCAGGCTAAAACATGAAAATATATTTATTAAAGTGATAACACGGCAGCTTTGAACTTTATTACCTTATCCAGAGAAATGTTCATCTCAGGAGGGGACAAAAAGTGCCCTTCATACCACTCGATCTCAGGACCTAAAATCCTTTTCAGCAAAAATACTCTGAGTAGCTCTTATGAAATGTTCGCACTCTTTAATGTATTAGAATGCCAGAGACTTTGTTTTTTTAAGTTTTTTATGTGCTTCCAACTTATTGCTGAAGTATAAACCTCACAAAGTCAAGTGGATAGAAACTTGAGTGGCTTAAAGGCGAGGAGTATCGAAGTAAAGGGTTAATCAGTTTCTTAATCCAACACTTGTACCTTCATTCTTGTATAGGTGTAGGAATCCTACTACAAAGAAGTTCTTACCTTTCGTTGCTGGCTCGAACTTAAATACTTCAAACTCTTCAAGGAGTACTGTGAAAATATGTGTGGATGTGTCTGCTATATATACCCAGCGGTATTCCCATCGCAGCCAATCAGAGCGTTGACTAATGCCGTGTGCGGATAAGTCACAATTTTTAGTTTGCTTCATTCGCCAATATGGAACGGATGCCAACAGGAGAACGATAGCAACAGGTGGCTGATTTTAGTTTTATTTGAAAACTTTGCTTCAACCCTTGGAAAAATAGGTCATATCTCTTTAAAATAATTTATTACTTTAATCACCAGCGGGTTCATGTCACTTGAAGTTTAGTGCGAACTTTTATTTAGAAAAAAATGCCACGTGCCTCAAGTGTTTCTGTAAAAGGGATGTTCCAATAAATGGAACGTTGGTTATAAGTATGGTCTACATTAATTTTATGATACTACAGGTATGAGTGTTCCATCAGAAGTTGCTTACTTGATGTTTAAATAAGCACGAAAAGTGTTAAAATAAATATACATACATGAATAAAACCATCTTGGAAAGACGGAGTTGGGTTTTCAAATTTTCATCTTGGCCACTGTGTCTTTTTCACAGGTTTTACTTGGTCGACCATCTACATCCATCATTATTCTTACCACAGCATCGCATTTTCCTTTGCTTTGATTACCACGCAAAAGTTGGCTTTCTTTTCACCAGAAAAACGTCATTTGGAAATTCCTTTCCTCTAACGACATTTGTAGACTAGAATGGCCTGCCCGAAGTCATCGTATCAACGCAAGACATCACCTCATTTCATGAAATATTGACTTCTTTATTTAAATAACTCACTCCTTTTTATAAAATGCTTTTGCCAGGGTACTCAAGGAAAAATATAATATATATATATATATATATACAATATACAAAATATATGAGCTAAAAAAATTAGTCCGATATATCTTCCAAGCGAGGGGCGTGCAGGATTGGGCTAACGTGACCTCAGCCTTCCCCCCCCCCCCCCCCCTTCCAAATCCAGCCGACCCTATATTATACACATACATTTTGACCTCCAGTCCCCCTCTTTTTTACCCCAAATCATGGACTTCCCAGCCACCTAAGCCCCCCCCCCCCCCCCTCCCCCGAAAAAAAAATACCTGCTCCGCCACTGTTCTAAGCCATACTGACTAGCGCAACAATCTTTTCACGATTAAAATATATGGTTGAATCAAGTAATATTTGAGCATCTGCAAATTTCTACTTGATAGACATTTCGCGAATACCTCATAGAGAGCAGGCCATAGGCGCCCGTTTCCGGTTTGAGCGGCGTCACCGTCGGCGTAACCGCGCGCGGTGCATTGTGAGAATAGGGAGTTTTCGTAGACCGTTTTCGCCGTCCCGCAAGGCCCTCCGCAACCCGCTACGATAGCGGGAACTCCACTGTCAAGGCTATCGGCGCGCAGGCGCAGTAGCAACTTCTTCGTTGCGGAACGCCTAGCGGAGGGGGCAGTGCGGTCTACGAAAACTCCCCATTAATGCAAGCGGGCGTAATCACGGGTTCCATTATGGGAAAATTTCCCGGCTAAATTTCGCCGCTAAATTTGGTGAGGAAAACTTTCCGCGAAACTTAGCGAAAAATCCTTTTCCCCGAAATTTTGCGAAAAAAGTTTTCCGCTAAATTTAGCGGAAAATTGTGTCAGCTCAATTTAGCGGAAAAATTTTTCCGCTAAATTTAGCGTAAAAACTACCCCACTGGAGTTAGCGGAAACATTTTCCAGCTAAATTTGGCGGTAAAATTTCCCCTCTAAATTTAGCGCGAAGATTTTTCAACTAAATTTAGGGGAAAAAATCTCCCGCTAAATTTAGCGGAACACTTTCCACGCTAGATTTAGCGAAAATTTTTCGCTAAATGGAAGGGGAGCAGGAGAGGAGGAGGAAAGGGGCATGCCCTCCGCTCCTCCTGCACAAGAGCTGCACTCCATTTCGGCATCACAAAGAATTGTAAACCTGTTTCATATTTAAAGGGGGGTGCAACGATTTTAAGATTAAAAGAATTTGCATCTTGTCATTTTTACGTTGTTTATAGTGCCCCAGAGGATAGAAAAAACATCTCCTTTATTAAAAAATGTCGCGACTTCGCTACATAATCGCAAAGCTAAAGTCGAGCTTCTTCCCCGCCTGCAGCCACAAGTGGCAGCCGAGGGAACTACGGCGAAAAGATTACGTGACCTCGCTTGGCTCTAAGCTGCAGCATAACGCCCGCTAATGTCAGCAGAGAGAGGGAGAGGAAGCGTCCTCCGAGGGAGCACACGGGAAGCTACACGGTACCCCGAGTTACGTCACTAGGAGGGGGACCAGGTGTGACCCCGAAGGCAGGGAGTGGGCTGAGGGGTGCCAGAAATGCCAATCTTTATTTTATTTTTTTACAACAACTAGGACACGCAGCCCAAATCGCTTTTCTGTTCTTTACTTCCGAAGTGTCAGATGGCAACTTCCACAAATTTTTGACCGAAGTCCGGAAATCATTGCACCCCCCCCCCCCCCCAATTTTGTGTTCTATTTTGTGACTCCAAAGATGGATGCCGAGAGCAGAAACTTGATGTAACTTAGAATAGCATTCGACCCCCAAAATGCAAGTGTCATGGACAGAAAAGAATATAAGACTTGAGACATAAAGAGAAGATAAAAAAAGTGAAAGCCGCTTACAACTCCCTGTAACGCCGAATTGGAGCGCAGCTCTTGAGGAGGAGGGAAGGGCGCTGGGGGGGGGGGTTAGACTAACCAGGGGGGTCACGTGACCCCCAATGCCGATGATGTCATCACTGACGTCACTGATGACGTAATTAGTGACGTCACTGATGACTTCACCAGTGATGATGACGATGACGATGCGAATGTCGGTGACGTCATCAGTGACGTCGCTGACGACGTCATCAGTGATGATGACGATGACGATGCGGATGCCGGTGACGACATCAGTGACGTCACTGATGACGTCATCAGTGATGATGACGATGACGATGCGGATGTCGGTAACGTCACCGGCATCCACATCGTCATCGTCATCATCACTGATGACGTCACCGGCATCCACATCGTCATCGTCATCATCACTGATGACGTCACCGGCATCCACATCGTCATCGTCAACATCACTGATGACGTCACCGGCATCCGCATCGTCATCGTCATCATCACTGATGACGTCACCGGCATCCACATCGTCATCGTCATCATCACTGATGACGTTACCGGCATCCACATCGTCATCGTCATCATCACTGATGACGTCACCGGCATCCGCATCGTCATCGTCATCACTGATGATGAAATCAGTGATGATGACGATGACGATGTGGATGCCGGTGACGTCATCAGTGTCGATGACGTCATCGGGGGGTCACGCGACATCGGCGGGGGTCACGTGACCGGGGGGTCACGTGACCTCGAGGAGGGGGTCACGTGACCTCAGGGGAGTCACGTGACTTCGGGGGGTCACGTGACCTCGGGGGGGTCACGTGCCTCCCCACGAAGTCACGTGACCCCGGTGGGGGGCTCGCGCGGTGCATTATGGGATATTTCCCATGATGCACCGCGCGGTTACGCCGACGGCGACGGCGACGCCGACGCCGCTCAAGCCGGAAACGGGCCCCTAAGAGCTGCGCTCTAAAATGAAAGCCGCTTACAACTCCCTGTAACGCCGAATTAGAGCGCAGCTCTTGAGGAGGAGGAGGGAAGGGCACTGGGGGGGGGGGTTAAACTAACCAGGGGGGGGGTCACGTTACCTTGGGGGTCACGTGACCCCCAATGCCGATGATGTCATCACTGACGTCACTGATGACGTCATCAGTGACGATGACGATGCGGGTACCGATGACGTCATTAGTGACATCACTGATGACTTCACCAGTGATGATGACGATGACGATGCGAATGTCGGTGACGTCATCAGTGACGTCGCTGATGACGTCATCAGTGATGATGACGATGACGATGCGGATGCCGGTGACGACATCAGTGACGTCACTGATGACGTCATCAGTGATGATGACGATGACAATGCGGATGTCGGTGACGTCATCAGTGATGATGACGATGACGATGTGGATGCCGGTGACGTCATCAGTGATGATGACGATGACGATGTGGATGCCGGTGACGTCATCAGTGATGATGACGATGACGATGTGGATGCCGGTGACGTCATCAGTGAGGATGACGATGACGATGCGGATGCCGGTGACGTCATCAGTGATGATGACGATGACGATGTGGATGCCGGTGACGTCATCAGTGATGATGACGATGACGATGTGGATGCCGGTGACGTCATCAGTGATGATGACGATGACGATGCGGATGCCGGTGACGTCATCAGTGATGACGATGACGATGTGGATGCCGGTGACGTCATCAGTGATGATGACGATGACGATGTGGATGCCGGTGACGTCATCAGTGATGATGACGATGACGATATGGATGCCGGTGACGTCATCAGTGACAATGACATCATCGGGGGGTCACGCGACATCGGCGGGGGTCACGTGACCTCGAGGAGGGGGCCACGTGACCTCAGGGGAGTCACGTGACTTCGGGGGGTCACGTGACCCCCCACGAGGTCACGTGACCTTGGTGGGGGGCTCGCGCGGTGCATTATGGGACATTTCCCATGATGCACCGCGCGGTTACGCCGACGCCGACGGCGACGCCGCTCAAGCCGGAAACGGGCCCCTAAGAGCTGCGCTCTAAAACACACATATACAGTACAGCACTGCACAGGCCTACATTTTGACGCCCCGCCAAGCCCGAGCCCCCTGACTCTCAGTCGAACCCGAGTAAAGCGCGGCCGAGTTGGATGCCTACTTAATCTTGCTTGGCCCAGACCTCGCCCTGTTGGAGATATCAGAGTTGTCTTCAGCCGGAACCACTTCCGGCTATCGTAGATGACACACATTGCACGCACCACTCGAAACAGAGTCGGCCCGAAGTTGGCTTCATCTCGTAAATCCGAAGCCGCCATAGGAAATTGGGGAACGCG